ACTACATCGTTTATTGGGGGTGGCAGTGGCGGGGGGGCTGTTAGCACTGCAGGTGCTTGAGCAGCCACAACGCCATGTTCATGAAGCCGTCGGCTTCGGCCTCGACGCCAGCCAGTGCATGGTTGTTCCCTGGGTACCAGAGCAGCCTGGAGGGGAGAGAGGGGGATTAGCACCATGCCTTCCCCCCCAGCAGGGCACCCAGTACCCCACTCACCGTGTGGGGATCCCCCGGGCCTTGAGGGCACGGTAGTACTCCAGCCCCTGCTTGGGGGGCACACGCCGGTCGTCCTCCCCCAGCATCAGCAGCACGGGTGCACGGACCTGTTGGAGGAGCACAGCCTCAGTGCCAGAACTGCCGGCAGGGACAGGGACAGAGATGGGGACGTACCCGGTCGACGTAGTGCATAGGCGACTTGTGCAGCATCTCTGTCCACTGGGCCGGGTCCGGCAGGGTGTCGGGCGTGTAGGGCAGCCCCGTCTCCGTCAGGCACCTGTGGGTGAGAGGGATGGGGGCACATGCAGGGCCGGGGTGACGGGAGCTGGGGGCAGGGTTACTCACCAGTCAGGGATGTCAGTGGTGGCCACCATGGAGGCGATGTTCACTACGGGGTTGCGGACCACGCAGGCATGGTAGGTGTCGGGGAACTGGCCGAGGAGGTGGCACGCCAGGAAGCCCCCATGCGAGCCGCCCACCAGTGCCACCCGGCCAGCATCCAGTGATTCCTCCTGCAGCACCCGCTCCACACAGAGCTGCCACCACCGGGGACACCGGCTGAGGCAGGTGGCCCCGCTTTCCCGCTTTGAGGGTACCCACAGGGGTAGAGGGTGCCCCAGGACCGCGTGTCAGGGCCATACCTGCACATCGCGTACATCCTGCGTGCCCACATTGCCCGGCAGAGAGGCCACGCTGTCCTGGCCGAAGCCCAGTGAGCCACGGTAATTCACTGTGAGCAGGGGGCAGCATCAGAGCCCTTCCTCCCCCCGGCCCCGCCACGGGCACGATGCCACCCAGCAGCCCCGGCCCCTGGCATCACTCACCCAGCAGCACGGCGAAGCCCATGCGGCACAGCGCCGCCGGGTACAGCATCCACCCGGCCATGAAGACGGAGTGGGGACCCCCTGTGAAAGGCAGAGGCAAAGAGGGGGTGATGCTGCCTGGCTGGGGCAGGGGTATGGTGGTGGGGGGCACGCTCTTACCATGGGGCATCACAACCAGGGGGTGCTTCTGGGTGGCGGGGCGCTCACTCGGGCGCAGCAGGATGGCATCGAAGTCCAGGCCCTCTGCAGAGGAGGGGTGGGGGGTGTCAGAGCTTGGTGGGACAGCAGAGCCTGGCCCAGCCCCCCCCAAGCACTCACCGTATTGGGGGTGCTCCTGCTCTGGTGGGGGCTGCAGGGTGCGGATGCCCCAGCTGATGCCAGGCACAGGGGGTGCATCCTGCAGGCAGACCCACCGCACCTGCGCCTCCCAGCCAGTGCCAGGCAGAATGGCCACTCTCTGCACGGGGAGAAGCGTCAGTGCTGGCACCGAGAGGGGCTGGTGAGTGCTGGGGAGGGGGGTGTCACCTTACTAGTGTTGGGGGGCAGCTAGGGGTGGAGAACCTGGCCACCAAGAGGTCCCGGTTGATGGTGAGGACAGACCAGCTTCCCTGGGGGCCATCTGGGGAGGAGTGGGGGGTCAGACCTGCAGGCGAGAGCCCCTCCCCAGCCCTGGCACCAGCATGACCCCGCCGGCCTGGCACTCACTGGCTGTCAGCGAGGTTGTGGCACCCGTCACCGTGTCCACCACGAACACGTCCTAGGGGCACAAAAGCAGAGTACAGCGAAGCCCTGACCCGTCCTGGCCCCCATGCATGCCCCCCACCATCCCATCCTGTCCCGTACCGTCCCAGCAGCACTGACCTGCTGGCTGCGCTGGGCCGTATCCAGCACGAGCCTGCGGCTGTCGGCTGCCCAGCACAGCCCTGGCAGAGCACTGCAGTAGATGCCCGGGAAGGTGCCTGTAATGACAGTGGTGGTGCTCAGCAACCGTCTTTGCCCCTCCTGGCACCCCCAGGGCTGTACTCACCCCATGCCTGACGTGGCACGGCCTCCAGCACCGTGCTGGTGTGCTCGGTGTACCAGTTGTACTGTGGGAGACATGGCACGGGTTGAGTTTTGCAGGGTCTCAGCCAGCCTGTCCCTGCTGCATTCCAGAGAGGGGGCACCACCACCCTCCTGCCAGCCCCCGCCCTGGCACAGGCACCCCGCCACCTCCCCAGTGTCCTGCCGCTGCCCTCCCCCTGGTGCTGCTCACCATGCGGAGGCGGCTGCACTGCTGGTGGGGGCCCAGGACATCATTCTCCAAGTAGACGATGCAGCAGCGGTCGGGGCTGAGCCGCGGGGACCACACGGCCTTGGTGTCCTCGGAGAGCAGTTCTGCACAGGCACGAGGGGACGGTGAGGGGCTGTGGAGAGCTGGGGCACTGGCAGGGTTGGGGTGCACGCCGCTCACCGCAGCTCCCGCCTGTCAGGTCCACGTAGAAGAGCGCTGACCTGCCGGCAGAGATGGGTGTCACCGTGGGGCTGGGAGGCCCGGCTGTGGGGTGGGGGGCCCCACCGGGAACTCACCGGCGGTTGGTGCAGTGCCGCAGCCCCAGGCGAAAGGGCTCATGCCACCAGCCCACGAACACCACGCCTGTGTCACCGGGGGACCAGAAAGCCTGCAGGGAGAGGCAGTGTGGGCTCAGCCCCCCACTGCCCCCTAAAGCTCCCTTCTCTGGTTCCCCAGGGCACCCTGCCCTGACCTGTCCAGGGGAGAGATGCTCCGGGACGCCCTCCAGCACTGAGATGCTGCTGCTCTCGATGTCCAGGATGCAGAGGACGGGCACGCTGCGGGTGCTCAGCGCCTCCCCCCAGTTATCGCAGTACACAAATTGCTCGCCCTGTGGCACAAGCCCTGTCAGCCCCATGGCCTCTCCCACCAGCACCCCCTGGCCCAGGGCAGGGGGATCCCACCTTGAGGGGTGCATCATCCTTCTCGGGGCATCCTATGTCCTCATCAGAGGCGCCCACCTCAGGGGCTTTGCTCTGGAAGAAGGACTCGGCCTTGGGACGCTTCTTCTCCGCCACGTAGAGCAGGTGGGTCTCCGAGTGTGACCAGGCCAGGCAGCCAAACTGGTCTGCAGGGGCGGGTCAGGCACCGTCCCCGCCGTCCCCCCAGGACCCCACATCCCCCGCTATCCCCTGGTCCCTCACCATCGTCGTAGACGCCGCCATGCTTCTCCAGCGCCGTCAGGTCGATGCTTTTTACCTTACGGTTCTGATCCCAGATCTGGGGGCAGAGATGCCGGGGCGGCCCCGAGTCGCAGCGTGGATCCCGCCCCGAGCCCCAGCGCACATCCAGCCCCCCTCCAGCCCCCTCCTCACCTCCAGGAACTGCTTCTCCTTCTCCTTGACGAGGACCTTGCGCAGGACGGCCTTCAGCGCCCCGCTGGGGGACTCCTGGCTCAGTAGCCTGCGGGAGGGCAGGTGCCCATCAGCCCCCCACCACCCGCACCCCACGGGGATGCCAACACAAGGGGACAGGACCGGATGGGACTCACTCATCCTTGATCTCGGAGCAGGTGCCGGCGGGCCCCGAGTAGACGATGGAGGCCCCGTCATGGAAAATCAGGTACTGGCGGCAAAACTTGACGTTCTCAGCCCGCGCCAGGTCCCGCTGCGACCACTCTGCGAGGAGCGGGGTGAGGACACCCGCTGCGTCCCCGCCGGGAGGTGGAGAACCCCCAGACACCCCCTGACTCCTCGGGGGGCCACCCTGTCCCCGTACCGGTGTAGAGGCTGC